ATAGTTAACCAAGGAGGGTAGACAAATCCTTCTACTGTTATGGTCCAGCTTCAACAGTTCAAAAAGAAAATTTTTTAGAAAATAAAAAAGGGGGAATAATGTCCCCAGTCCCCACATGACTCATCAAATAATACACTCCTCATTTAAAAATTTTATAATGTGAATGCCAGTGAGCTTCAGACAGATTCTGGCATGATGGAACTTGAGCAACCATTGCTCAGGTCAAATGGAGACATCCATACACTAGACAGTGGAGAAGACCCTAATTTGGGGTCGAGGGCATGTTTGTGTTTTCTTGCAGGAAAAGAATAAAGCTTCGGCAACTGTCAGACCATTTAGTGAGATGCATGGAGCAGAGAAAAACTGGACCTGAGACCATGGGAGCCTATCTAAGCAAGTTTGAGTGAGATCTCCTAAATCAGTGTTCCTGATTCTTGATGTCATCGAATCTAGAGCCCAAGAAAGAAAGAAAACAGTCGGTTCGAGATTTCCAGTTTCTCAACAGACCTGCTGCATTAACCTTCCGGACCTGTGAGTTTTCATCCCGAAGCCAACAGAGAACTGGAAAGACTAACTGTCTGCCCTTGACACACCTTGAAACAACAGAATTCATTTTGCCAGTTTTCCCTTTAGGGGAAAAAAGGACCCATTTAAAATATTTGGACATTGATATGGACTATGAGTGGCAAAAGCCTGTTTTCAGTATTTGAACAGGACATGGTCACTTGATGGTTCCTGTTTCTGGAATCACGACTAGGCCAGTGTATTTTTCTGGAGAAATGCAACTTGTCCTAATGCGACAACTATTGTTCATATTTTTCATAATGCTACAGGTGTAACATCAATGATTGTGCCCAATGTATCTGTGCAAGTGCACTTTCTAAATGCTTTCCTGAGCAGATCTTGAAACGATTGGAAACTTTATCAAATTGTAAATGTAAATCACATATGGGTTACCCTTGTAACAAAATGTAAATCACTTGCAGGTTACCTTTGTAACAGACGAAGGCTGGTAGAATGTTATGGCCCAGATCTGGTGATGGGTATGGTGATGGAGAGGCACTATGTCGATGGGGGTCCTGGAAATGGTGGCAGTGGCGGTAGGCATTCTGGCTTTATGCCGAGCTCAAACGTGCCTTGTTCCAGAGACAAGAGATCCGTAACCAAGTATTGCTTAGCTTAGCCCATGGCAATCCCGATAGCCATGAAGGTTGGTTACAGATGATTTAAGGTTGGGGTATCTCCGATGACGGGCAACCTGTGGGGAAGACCCCTCCCACCTAAAACAGGGGTTCAAGGTCCCCCAAAGACGGGAAAGGGAGGGTGACCCTACTTGACCTAAGCCAGGAGTGCCTCATTTGAAAATAAAAAGGGGTGAATTGTGGGAACACCAGACCTTGAGCAGAGACCCACTTCCCCTTCTGCCTGGGAGTAGGCAGCTGTAAGACAATGTTTAGTAAAAACATGTTTACTAAAAACGATACAATAAGTTCCTGGCCACTTCCCCTTCTGCCTGGGAGTAGGCAGCTGTAAGACAATGTTTAGTAAAAACCTGTTTACTAAAAATGATACAATAAGTTCCTGGGAAAGGCCTTCCCACGGAAACCGCCCTGACCTCGACCTTGTCCAGAGACTAACCGCACCTTCAAAAACCCACACACATCCACCTCTGGGGTCAGAGCAGAACCAGCCAGGGTAGAGGAGAGAGCAGAAGCTTCTCTGGTGGGAGCTTTTCTTAGGAAGTTTTTCTTGAACCTTTTTGGAGCCTGTTAAAAGTTCTCTTTATATCATTGAACGAGTCTCTGTGTTTTCAATACCCGACACCCTCCGCACGTTCTCGGACACAGGCCGCGCAGCAGACGTGACACACACCTTTAATCCCAGCACTTGGGAGGCAAAGGCAGGTGGATCTCTGTGAGTTCCAGACCAACCTAGTCTACAAGAGCTAGTTCCAGAATAGCCTTCAAAGCCACGGGGGAACCCTGTCTCAAAAAACCAAAAAACCCAAACCAAAACAACAATAACAACAAAAAATGTAGTTTGGACCTACACAAAATCCTTAGCTTTTTGTTTGTCTGTTTTAATCTCTCCATAGAGTGAATTCTTACAGCTATCATCTAAGTCACTAAATTCACAGGGACCCAGCAGCTTTGGGTGACTAGAAGTCACCATATTAAGTAGACAGCTCTAAGTGATGATCTAAGTCAGTTTATGCCTGTTCTTTATTCATGAAGATTACAGTTAAGGCGAAGGGTTCTATAGACTTCTTACAAAGGGACTGAAGCAAAAATAGCAGTTATAATTGGAACCATACTATGAACAGTTTTGCTTATTTATGCATATCTCTTGAGGTCTAAACCTAAGCCTCATGCCAGGACCAGCAAAGATGGACTTGGAGTTGATGGAACTGCTTCTTTCTGTTCTCAATGACAGCCACATGGAATGCAACTGTTTTCTCTGTTTTTCACTATAGTTGTCTCTTTAATAAGATTCCAAGAAACACAGTTAACAGGTGGTACTACCCATGACAGTTTAAATCAGATATACCCCATAAGTTTTCAGGCATTTGGATACTTGGTCCCAAGTTGGTAGTGGTTTGGAGAAGATTAGGAGCTGTTGTCTTCCTGGAGGAAGCATGCCACGGGGGCAGGCTATGAGGTTTCAAAAGATTCCACTACATTTAGAGTTAGCTCCCTCTGATTCCTGTTTGTAATCTGAGATGGAAGCTCTCAGTTATTTCTTCCACCATGTCTTTGGTCGGCAGTCATGGATCCTATCCCTCAGGAACCATAGTCTAAAATGAACCCTTCCTTCTGGAATTTGTCATGATTGTAGTGTTTTATCAAACATTAGAAAAGTAATCTTTTTTTTCAAGACAGGGTTTCTTTGGGTAGCTTTAACTGGACCGGAACTCACTCTGTAGACCAGGCTGGTCTGGAACTGTCACAGATCAGCCTGCCTCTTCCTCCTGAGTTCTGGGATTAAAGACCCTGCCTAGAAAAATAATTCTTATGTGAATTTAGGAGGAATGGATAGAAAAGATTTTTCAAGCAAACAGAACAAAGAAACAAGCAGTCGTAGCTTTTCTAATATCCGAAAAGATAAACTTCAAACCAAAACTAGAGAGAAGCAACAGAGGAAGTCATTTTTATGCTCATTAAAGGAAAATTCCATGAGGAGGAGATTATAATAAATATTTGCTGACTTCATGAAAAAGAATTTGGAAGTGTTCCTTTCTCTGTGTTCTAAGTGTACAGGCAATGAATTTTCACCTGAGTGGAATACAGATTTTTTTTCAAAGTATGTCCTTATGGTTACCCAAATTTCCTCAGTGTCTGTCACAATGTCTCCCCTTTCATCTTTGGCTTTATTAATTTGTATTCTCTGTATATTTTTGTTAATTTGGACAAGAGTTTGTCAGTTTTGTTAACATTTTCAATGATCCAACTCCAGGGCAGGTCCCGTATTCAAAAGTAGGTGAATAACACTACTGGATTCAATAGATTTTTTTTTAAAAGAAGAAAAACAGGGAGTTGAGTGAACAGGGATATGGGATTGAATAGGTAGGAGTTAAATGATGAGGAGTGAGTGTGACTAAAATCCATGGTATGTAATTATCAAAGAATTCATATAAATATTATTTTTAAAGAGGAGAACTGATGGGTTAATGTTAAAAACTTGATGAGCAGAAAGAAGGCAGATACAAAGCTGCAATGGGAATGGAACTAACTTATAGTGCAAGAAAGTACAGCTGGGTGCAAGAAAGGACTTGAGAGGAGATGAAAATGCTTTGTTTAGATTTGATGGAGGACAACAAGTGTACTTACGACAGTCCATACTTCTCAGCTGGCCATGGTGATGCATGGTTTAATCTCAGCACTTTGGAGGCAAAGGCACGTGGATCTCTATGAGTTTGAGTACTGTATTGTCTATACAGCAAGATTCAGACTAGTTAAGGCTAGAAAAATCATATATACAAGTTCTAGCACACACCTTTAATCTCAGAACGCAGGAGGCAGAGACAGGCAAATATCTGAGTTCCATGCCTGCCTGTTCTACACAGAGGGTTTCAGAACAAACAGAGTAACACAGAGGAAACCTGTCTTGGAAAAAAACAAACAAAGAAAAAACTACCGCCACCAACAAACCACCAGACAACATAATAAACTATTCAGGACTCAAGGGCACTAAAATGACATCAGTACTGAATGCAAGTGAACCTGAAGGAAATAACTAGAATATCTAGTCGGTGGATGAGTACATGGATTCTGGATTAGGACGAATTACTGTATCAGTAGTAAAGGTCCACAGTTTGATCATTTATATATGGTTCTATACGATAAATTGCTGTCTCTGAAAAATATTTAGGAACATTTTGGTCTCAATTTTGTTTGGTTTGTTTGGTTCTATGGCACAGGCTATCACCGCATTCATTTTTTTTTTCTTCAGAAATCTTCTCTTAGCCACCTAATTGCTACGATTAAACATGTAAGCCACTACATCTAGTCAATATCAATTATTGCCACCATTTATTTTTTCTTCTTTTTTTTTTTTTGGTTTTATGAGACAGGGTTTCTCTGTATTGTTTTGGAGGCTGTCAGTCCAGCCTGGCCTCGAACTCACAGAGATCCACCTGCCTCTGCCTCCTGAGTGCTGGGATTAAAGGCATGCACCACCACTGACCCGCTGCCGCCATTTCAATAAGGCCTCAACTTAACATAGATGAACTAAAGAAAGGTGGGTAGGCTAACTCATGTCTTGGATAAAATATATTCAGCAGTTGCCTGAACTTTTCTTGTAACTGTTCACCAAATTTGAAATCATATTGTATGGCCAAAAGAAATGCTCATAAAAATGAAGAAAATTTTACATGAAATAAAACACACGATACAAGACAGCAATCAACTAATAAGAAATGGAAGCCCACAACTACATTATAATTCTTAATTGTTTTTTAATTAAAGTTTATCCTATTGATAATGGAATACTTAGGCTTTTTTTTTAGGGTTCTTTATTTAGTTTTATGGGTGTGTAAAAAACAGAAAGAACAGATTTTTACAGGGTCTGGGGTCAAAGGGTGTCCATGCACCAGAGTAGCTGTATCTTTTCTAATCCAGGAAGGAAGATGGCCTCTGTGCTGTCAAATTTGATTTTGGAGACTATTCCCAACATCTTCCAGGTCATCTCTGTGTGCACAGAGGACTAAGTCCTGTGACCAAAACACTTGTTTATGAGGAGTCACAGATTATTACAGTAAACACATGAGCATCAGCACACTCCATTTTACCTTTACCATTTGCTGGAGAGTGAATCAGGGAATGGAAAGTCTCTTCTCACAGACACAGTGGAAGAGTTGATCACATCCAGCATCATCAAGTCTTGTTTTAGATAAAAATGCACATCTTCTAGAGTTAGGATTGAAATTCATTATGTTCAAGTCACTAAAGAACAAAAACAATGGGAAATTATTTAGTTTTGAACATTCACTGAAATGTCATGATTTTGAAAACCCTATTGGCCAAAGTATATAGAATAAGGAAATATTAGTCATCCACTAAAATGTTTTATTTTTTATAAACTCATTAAAAAGAAATCATGTCTTGGTCATACAAAAATCCCCATCTTATTCCACAGTTGCAATTTTTGATCAGCAGGTGAAACTGATTTTTAATATTTCCAAGCAATTATTTTAACTAAGTCTGCTTTGCCTCTTATATATAGTCAATAAACATGCCGGATAGAAGCAAATGTGTGTAGCACATAGAACAAAGTCTCATATGCTGGTGTCAAATCCTTCGTCTTTCCTTAAAACACAGTCATATATGAGAGCCTATAGCTAATGAGTCTGCACTGAAACATGATAATCTACTGAATTTCCTGTATGCAATATAACATATGCGTTTCCATTGAGGAGTCATATAGACTGTGGCTTAGGTTAATGATTAAGAAAACCAATTGAATCCCAGTACCCCAGTTAGCTTCAATTCTTTAGTACTAATGCAGAGAGATGGTTAACAGGTTTCAGTGTGTATCACAGCTGAAACAAAGCCTTAAGGTGACTTCACTTTAGATTAAGATGTGTTTGATAATAGCTTTGCAATATAAAGGCCTAGACAGCAATATAAAGTTCACAAGGGCACATAGCTAAGTGACAGATTCATTTGCTTAAGGAATCAAACAATAAAGCAGCCCAGTTATTACTAGCTGACATACTTTTCTTGCTAATATTTGTTATTTTTTTCATCTTTCTTGCCTCATTCACTGTGTCACTGACAGAGTTACACAAGTGTGCACACCATGGTGAAGCTTCTATAGGCAGGGAGCTTCACCGTGGTCATAACCAGGTCAACTCTCTCATACCAATGCAGAAGGAACACACACACACACACACACACACACACACACACACACACACACACGTCACCAATAATACCAACAAAACAAAAAACTATCAATCACGTATCAAATACATCTCTTAATATCAAAGGAATCAATTCATCAATAAAAAGACACAGTCTAACAGAATGGACATGAAAACAGGATCCATCCTTCTGTTGCATACAAGAAACACACGTCAACTTCAAAGAAAGACATTACCTCAGACTAAAGTGTTGGGGAAATATGTTCCACTCAAATGGTCCTAAAAAGCAAGCCTGTGTAGCTATCCTAATGCCTAACAAAATAGACTTCAGAATAAAATTGCAAGAAATGGAGAAAGATGTTTCAAAGTCATCACAGGTAAAATCCATTGAGACGAAGTCTTATTTCTGAACATTTATGCCCCAAATACAAGGTTACCCTCATTTGTAAAAGAAACATTACTAAAACACAAATCACACTTAAAATCACACACACTTACAGTGGGAGCCTTCAACACCCCACTCTCAGAAAAGGACAGGTATGCCAGACAGAAACTTACCAAACAAGTAAAGGAACTAACAAATGTTCTGATTCAAATGGATTGAACAGACATACATAGAACACTTTACCCAAACAAAAAGAATATGCATTCTTCCCAGCACCTCATGGAACCTTTTCTAAAATTGATCATATACTCAGTCACAAAGTAATCTCAACAGATAAAAAAAAATTGGAATGACCCCCAGTATACTCTCAAATCACAATGGCTTAGAGTGAAAACTCAACAACACAAAATAGGAAAGTCTATAATCTCATAGAAACTGAACAAAGCTCAACTGAACTACCACTAGGTCAGGGAAGAAATAAAAAGAGAAATTAAAAGTTTCCTATGATACAATGAAAATGGGGGAGGCATCATCATCCTTGACTTCAAGATATACTTTAGAGACAGCCAACCTCATTGATCACCATTCTTGGCTTACCTCTCCACACTCCGGTAGAGAAGTGAGTCCCAGGGACTCTTCTACCCTACCTCCCCCTCTTCGAGTCCCCTGACCATCAGTCTACAGACTCATCCTACTACCAAACCACACAGAGGGACCTGGAGGCAGAAAAAAAGCAGCCAACTTCATTGGCTGACATTATCCATCCTGGTCCTCCATTCTCCAGTAGACTGGTTAGTCCCAGAGCCTCTTCTAGCCCACATGCCTCTCTTCGAGTCCGGTGACCCTCAGATACCAGATCCTTCCATGTACCGAATCACACAGAGAGACCTGGAGGCAGAACAAACAGGCAAACTCATCAGCAAACAATCTGGGCTTGCCCCTCCACCCTCCAGTAGAGAGGTGGGAAGAGGATAGAGCCTTGAACCCATACCCATAGGAAGAGGGAGAGACTCCACCTATACCCACTGGAAGAAGAGGTGGGAAGACAAACATATAAGAACACATTCAACAACAAAAAGACTTATATGCCACTAAAAGAATCTAGGGACTCTTCACTAGAAAGACTTGAACATTCTGATGCAGATGAAGCAGAAGAGAATGACCTTAAAAACAACCTCATGAAAATGATATAGACCCTGAAAGAGAATAGGAGAACATCCCTTAAAGAAATGGAAGAAAATCAAAAAAGTAAAATGCAAGAAATCTCTTAAAGAAAGCAAGCAAAGCCAAGAAAAAAATCAATCAAACAGATGAAGGAAGGAATTCAAACATTTCAAGACATGAAAACTGAAATAGAGATAATAAAGAAAACACAAACTGAGGGAATACTGGGAATAGAAAAGCTGAGTAAATGATCAGGAACTACAGATGCAGGCACAACAAGCAGAATACAAGAGAGAGAAAACAGAATCTCAGGCACTAAAGATAAACTAGAGGAAATAGATTAATCAACCAAAGAAAATCTTAAATCCAACAAATCTTTAACACAAAATATCCAGGAAATATGGGACACTGTGAAAAGACCAAACCTAAGAATATTAGGTATAGAAGAAGGCGAAGAAGCCCTGCTCAAAGGTACAGAAAGCATATTAAAAAACATAGAAGGAAACTTTCCCAACCTGAAGAAGGACATGCCTGTGAAAAGACAAGAAGCTTACCGAACACCAAATAGACTGGACCAAAAAAAAAAAAAAAAAAAAAAGAACATCCCTTCCTCATAACAATTAAAACACTAAACATACAGAAAAAAAGAAAGAATACTAAAAGATGCAAAGGGAAAAGGCCAAGTAACATATAAAGGCAGACCAATGAGAATTACACCTGACTTCTCCATGGAAACGCCGAAAGCTAGAAAGTCCTGGATATATGTTCTGCAAATGCTAGGAAACTATAGATTCCGGCCCAGAATACTATACCCAGAAAAAACACTCAATCACTTTAGATGGAGAAAACAAGATGTTCCATGACAAAAACAGATTTACAAAATACATATCCACAAATCCAACCCAAGGAAGCTACACTCACAATAACATAGGCAATAGATAATCTTACTTTACCAAAGGCCAGAAATAGGGGAAAAACTTATACACAATACCACCATAAAAAGCAAATCCCAAACAAACAAGAATCAACAATCAATGGTCATTAATATCCCTCAATATCAATGGTCTTAACTCACCTATAAAAAGACTCAGGCAAACAGAATGGATAAGAGGACAGAATCCATCCTTCTGCTGTGTAAAAGAAATGTACCTCAACTTCAAAGGCAGATGTTACCTCCGAGTTAAGGGTTGGAAAAAGATTTTCCAATCTAATGGACCTATGAAACAAATGGATGTAGTTATCCTAATAGCTAACAAATTAGACTTCAAACTAAAATTAGTCAAAACAGAAGAAGGACATACCATATTCATCACAGGAAAAATCCATCAGGATGAAGTCTCAATTCTGAATATCTATGCCCCAAATACAAAGGCACCCACATTCGTAAAAAGAAACCTTACTAAACTCAATCACACATTAAACCTCACTCTTAGCACTGGACAGGACCATCAGACAGAACCTCACCAAAGAAATAAAGGAACTAACATATATTATGGCCCAATTGGACTTAACAGACATCTATAGAACATTCCATCCAAACACGAAAGAATGTACCCTCTTCTCAGTGACACATGGAACCTTATCTAAAATTAACCACATACTTGGTGATAAGACAACCTCAACAGATACCAAAAAAATTGAATAACCACCTGTATCTTATCGGACCACCATTAAAATTAGAATTCAACAACAACACAAATTGCAGAAATCCCACAAACTCGTAGAAATTGAACAACGCTCAATTGCATCACTCCTGGGTAAAGGAATAAATAAAGAAATAAAAAGACTTCCTAGAAATTAATGAAAATTAAGGCACAACATACCCAGACCAAGGGAATACTCTACCAACAGTTCTAAGAGGAAAATTCATAGCACTGAGTGCCCACACGAAGAAACTAGAGAATAACCAAACTAGAGAATTAACAGAACACCTGAAAGCTCTGGAACAAAAAGAAGCAAACTCACCCAGGAAGAGCGGATGCTAGGAAACAAACTGAGAGCTGAAATCAATGAAGTAGAAACAAAGTAAACAATACAAAGAATCAATGAAACAAAGAGTTGGTACTTTGAGAAGATCAACAAGATAGACAAACCTTTATCCAACCTAACAAAAAGGCAGAGAGAGAACATGCAAATTAACAAAACCAGAAATGAATAGAGAATCATGAGGTCATACTTTGAAAACCTGTACTCCACAAACTTGGAAAATTTAAGGGACATGGATGATTTTCCGGATAGATAACACGTACCAAAATTAAATCAAGAGCAGATAAACAATTTAAATAGATCTATAACCCCTAAAGAAATAGAACCACACATAAAAAGTATTACAACCAAAAAAAAAAAGCACAGGGTCAGATGGTTTCAGTACAGAATTTGATCAGAAATTCAAAGAAGAGCTAATACCAATACTCTTCAAATTGTTCCACACAATAGAAGCAGAAGGATCATTGCCAAACTATTTGTACAAAGCTACAACTACCTTAGTACCCAAATCACACAAAGATACAACTAAGATAGGGAACTACAGA